CCCCCCCCAAAAGCACCTCAAAAACATCTTGTGCGTGGACAATGTAATATGGGAGCCTAACACTAGGAAAAGCAAGAACTTGGACAGATCTGGTTCCGATACAATGTGAAGAAAATAGACCTTGGGAATATTTCAACCTCAAAAGTTAATCCATGATGTGCGGACTACTCAAGGCCATCTAAGGAGACAACGGTACATGCACAAATATGAGACATTATAACAGGTACATTAAATACTTGGACAACCTCCCATGGAAAATATAACAATAGAAAGAGCAAATGAACCACTTCATCAACTCCCATTTCTTTCTTTCCTTTTTTTTCTATCCTTAAGAGTAAACTCCTCAATTTTTCCATCTAGTTTGTTCAGAAAGCATGGAAAAATAAGGGAGGTGGATTCAATGTTCACGCTGACTGCCAAAGAAAAGCTTGAAACATGCAAGCGCTAATCCTGAATTATTTTAATGAGATTAGCGAGCTTGCGTAATTATTCAGTAACATGTTAGCCTATATGCATTTATTGTTCTTTTCAGTTACACTGTTTAGGTTCCTTATGTAACACTATAGTTATAATAATAAATGCTCTACTCTGGATAAGTGAACTTTTTCCAATAATGGAACAGAGCCACTAGTAGTTACGGTCTAGCCGGTCAAGTCATTCTTCTTGTAAGGCAACGTATTGGAAGCAAGTAGCTGGCATTTGGTAACAGAATTTCTTTTTGGGGACTTCAAGATTGCTTCCTGGAGTCTAAATTATAAGGAGGTGAACTTCAGAGAGGGTAGATCATTTGCTTGTTAGCCTCAATTTTCCTTCCTGACATTTAAAGATTTGGGAGTCATAGTGGCTTTGTGTATCAGCTCATTGTCACATGTTGTTGGCTGAAAACGTTAAAGCAACTTTAAGAAAGAGGAAGAGGAGATAACTTTCCTAGCAACTTGATGCTGAAAAGCTCATGACATAACTTCATGTTCTTCCGCACTCAGGTAATAGGGAGTTTTCGGGTTTTCTACACAACTGCTCAGAAAGGCCTCTTCAATCATCCACATTACATTCTTTCTGACGGTAAACTGCACAGTTTTCTAGTTTGAGATGTGTTAACTATCTAAAATGAGCCTCTGGAATTATTCGTTCCCTTTTATATCAAGCCAACTTAAGGGTGATAGTTCGACGAAGTACCCACTGGTTTATTTGTTCCATTCCTACTGCATATCTCCAGTGAAATATTCCAAAGCAATTCAGCCCGCCCAACAAGAGGTCTCTCAAGAAAATGGTAACCCTTCAAACTTCTTTGAGGACAGGCCTTGACGTAATGGTAGAATTGCTCTTTGGGGACCTATAGTTCACAAGTTCAAGGTGCAAAACAGCCTCTTTGCAGAAATGAAAAGGGAAGGCTGTGTACTGTAAACCCCCAGTCTTGCCATACCACCATCCTAGCACGAGAGCACTTCGTGCATGCAGTAAGTCCATTTTAATCCTTCAAACTCCAGCAACATAACTCTAAATTACGGTCCTTGCGAAGCTATAAGGCTTCAAATTAAACCATTTATCTTCTACCTGATCAGTTATCTACATTCAGTTTAGTTTTAGTGCTACAACTGAGAGAGGAAACTTGCAAAACTTTGCTAAGAAGGGGGAGAGAAATTTCAAGTGAAAAGTTGCACAATTGTACCCCCACAGCGCCAACTAATTTGCCTGATGGGCCAGTATCAGAATACCTAGAAGCGCTCTCACGAGAAAATCATGCAAATAATAATTTATTGACAAGTACCAATTATCATCCCCTCAACTACAGCAAAGGAACTATAAATTAAGGTTATTGCAGATCTGTAAGGTCTCAAAATTAAATACTAATCTTTCACAACCTTGAAGACACTGACATTTGGAGCTGAATTTATCTAGGTTCTACACTTGTAAGTCTTTTTTCTCATACCATTTCCATTAATGGGATACGGAGGGGCGGAGCTACCCTTGTTCGAGTGGAGTCAATCGAAATCCCTTCGCCAGAAAAAGACACTACGTAGATAGGTCAATTTTTTTTAAATGTTAATATACTATATGTTGATTTCACTCGGCTTCTTAGCGTATTTACTTCTTTATATTTTGAAACTTTTAATGAAAATCATGGCTTCTCCACGGGGGATACATACAGAAATCCTTAACATTTTAAATATTCATATCTGGAAGAATATGAGATCCCAAATGAAGATACAGTAAACACAAACAAATCCAAAAAGAAAAAGCGGATATGATATTCAGCGCATTACTAGAAAACCCGGGTTAGAATGAAAAATTTAAAATGGTAGGGTTAGTACAAAAACCTGAAGAGTGCGGAGGTGGGTGGAGGAAGTATATTGGATGGAACGGGCAGAGCGTAGGGCGGAGTCAGTAGACTCTTGTACTGTGCGAGGCAGATCCTCTGAGATGTAAGAGTGCCATGCTTTATCTTTGTTTTGCGAAGGCAAAGGCGGCGATGATGATGAGGGATCGATGTCAATAGCAGGAGGGGCTTCTTCTCCCATCTTCCTCGTCGATTTCAGCTACTCCGGCAGTACGGATACACGAAACAGAATGGCAAAGGAAAATACTAATTGACAAATGTTGCCAAGTTTTATTGCCTTTTTTTCTTATTACTGTTTTAATACTGATGTCTTTTTGAAATTAATTGGAATTGATGTATTTACTATTATAGTAATTATATATTTTAATAATTATACAATAGTAATTACGATAGTGTAATTATAAGTGTACTGTTTGGTTATACAAGTATAATTATATAATTAAATTAAATTTTAAATAAAGTAACTATCAAAACTAAAAGTTAATGTAATAAATATATGCCTATAAATAATTTTTTATAAGTATAAATGATATTAGATTTGGTATTTAAGATGCATATTTTTCTTTGAATATATATATTAATTAGTAAACATATAGTTATAATAATATTGTAAAAATAATTTATGTATATTTTTAAAATTAATAATATTTAGTTTAATTAATTATAAAATATATGTTTTATAAGAACATCGTGGAATGTATGTTTGATAAAATAAATTAATATTTATAAATATAATGCCATAACATTATTTATATGTTTGACAAAACTAATCTACCAATTCTAGCTAAAACATAAATAACATGCAATGTGAAATAACAAGTCAATACTACTAAAACAAGTAAATTGGAACCATAAATATAACACAATTTCAAAATCAAAAAAAAAAAATAGTTTAACATATGTCAAATTCTAACATAATAAAAATAAGCTCCAATACAATTTAAGATTGTGAAACATAGTAAGTTTATAACATCATTCAACAATGAAATTCTACTTTAATGACATCACTCATTATATCCCAAGTTTGTTAATGACTCATTATTTATAATATTAGAATAATAACGCAGTTACGGTAAATGAAGAAAATAAAACAAATAAGAAATAAAATATACGAGCAATTACATGAAATCACAAGAAGTAAGGTAGAGAAATAAAAGATAAATAATGTACAAATATATATAAAGAAATTAAAAAGTAAAAAAATAAATAAAAGAATTAAAATAATAGAAAAAAAGTTGTGAAAAAAATAAATTAAAATTAAAAGGAAAGAAATCAAAAAATAACCTTATAATTACATAGTGTAATTACCGTAAATTCTCACCTCCCCTTTGAGAATTGGAGAGTGTAATTAAGGATGTGTTTGGTATGACGGAAAATATTTTCCGAAAAAAAATTTCAATTTTTTCATGTTTGGTTGACTTATAGCCCGTTTGGCCAAGTTACCAAAATCAGCTTATTTTGAGAAGTATTTTTTCTCAAAAGTATTTTTCTCAAAAGTACTTTTGGTGAGAAACAGTTTGTGTTTGGCTAATTAATTTGAAAAGCACTTCTGAGCAGCAATTAGTGTTTGACCAAGCTTTAAAAAACTGCTTCTAAGTATACTTTTCTCAAAAGTGTTTTTCAAAAAAATGCTTTCGGAGAGAAGCTACTTTTTTCTGTTTTTCCAAAGTTGCTTCTCTTTTTTCCTTTCAAAAGCTTGGCCAAACACCTTAATTTTAGAAAAAAGCATTTTTGACAACAAAAAAAAAGCGTTTTTGCCTCAAAAGAAGCTTGGCCAAACATGCTATTAAATGTTTTGAAAAATATTTTTCTCATAAACTCATTCTCCTTCAATTGGAGAAAAATATTTTCCCTATCAAGAAAAAGAAAAATATTTTCCAAAACTCCTTGTCAACCTTCCACACCCTATTCTCCATCCCCACCAACCCACCCCCATACCTACCAAACCACCCCACACCCACACCCACCCAACCCCCCAATCCTACCCTAAATAAAAATATTATTAATAGTACTTTATTTTCATGTTATAGATAGACTCTTTTTTTTTTTTTTGCATTTCAACAAATGAGTATTTTTTACATGATATAAAAAAGTATTTTTTTCATTTCAACAAAACAAAAGTACTTTCTTTTCATAGAAAAAGTATTTTATTTCATTTCAACAAGAAAACGTATTTTCTTTTCATGATGTAAAAAAATATTTTGTTTTATTTCAACAAAATGAGCATTTTCTTTTTCATGATGTAGAAAAAGTATTTCTTTTATTTAAATAAAATGACTATTTTATTTTTATGTTGTAGCAAGAGTACTTTCAAGTGTATTTTTTTTAAGTTATGGAGTATAAATTTTAACATTATTTTTGCGTAAAAAGTAAAGCAACACATTAGTTCATTTAGGGTTGTGTGTATTTTTAGAAGAGTAATTAAATACCTTGAAGAAAATAGAGTCATGAAAACGTTTGGTTGGAGGGGGGTGGAAGGGAGGGGGCGAGCAAGGAAACATGGGGACTTGGGGGAAGGGGGGTGAGGAGAGTAGAATAAAAAATATTTTCTACTCTCTAACCAAACACTAAAAAATATTTTTCGGAAAAAGTTTTTCACTCACCAATCAAAAGGGGAAATAAGTGATAAAACCACTCATTTTTCATGAAAAATATTTTCTAAGAAAGCATTTTCCACGAAAAACATTTTCCTTCATACCAAACACACCCTAAACCTCTCCAATTACACTCAATTCCATGTTCCAAGTAATTACTTGGTCAGACAAACATACCAAACTGTGCAATTATACCCAAATTCAATTCATAGGTGGCTTTCCAAACAGGCTCTTGGGTTTTCTTTTTCTCACTTAGGGAGGGATAAAGCTTAGGCATCATTTGTTTTTAACTTTGAATTTTAATACACATCTTAATATTCAGATATATATTTTGAAACTATATATAGCCATATTCTCAACCAGGGTATTCCGAGAAAATAGAAAGCCAAATCAAACCGAAAATTAAATCAAGCCGATACAAGAAATCGATAATCTTTTTGTTTGATCTAGTTTTGATTTTGAATTTTAAAACCCTACCAGATTTGATTTTAAATAAAAATAATTAGTGACCTTGTTCCGCTCATTATGGAGGAATTCGACTAGTAAGGGTCACATTGAGGCAATGACTTGTGCAGAAGAACCTCATTCACTAAGGTTATGGAAGAACAAAAGTACTAATAACCAATGGACTGACAACTAGGGGTGGGCATACAATTCAAAAAATTGAATTCCGAACTGGACCAAATTAATTCAGCATTTCAGTATCGGTTTATTCAGTATTTCGGTATCAATTTTTCGGTTATTCGATATTTCGGTACGGTCCTCGGTATTGAGGTTTCGATATTTCGGTATACAGAAATACTGAATTAATTTTACCTACAGTCCTACACTACCCAACGGCCTAGCCCAAAATTTTAAATGCCTAACCTAATAAGACTAAGCCAAGTCCCTTGATATCTTTCTGTTGTTTCCCAACCTAACCCAAAAATCCAATATGAATTAGGAATTACCAATCTGTCGTCTGTTTAGTGCTGCCTCAAAGCAGCTCAACTTGCGAATGGAGATGAAAATCATTATGTTAATCAGAAATAAGAACTTTTGCTTCAAAAACTTTCTCAACTGGAGCAATATATATTACTCTTAATTAAGATTTGGTTCGCTTTATGACAAGCTTTCTCTGCCCAAGCCCAATTGTTTGCTAGTGCAATGACATGATAAGTTTTTTCAACTATATATATGCAGTTTTCATTGGCCAGTGCCACTTCTTGTCACGTTAGATAGAGATGGTGCGATACTGAAACCGTATCGAATTGTACCGAACCAAACAAGAAAATACTGAACCGTACCGAACTACTTTGGTACGGTATTTGGTATGCACAATTGATATATCGAATACCGAAGTACCGAACCGTAATTCATAAATACCGTACCAAAGTACTGAACGCCCACCCCTGCTGACAGCATCAGAGCCACAAGTTAATGATTAACTATTTGCATTGTTCGGCAACTTGCTATTTAGTCAAAAGAGGGAAAGAGTGAATGCACTTGTTTAACCAAAAATAGATTTTCCAGTCAAATCCAATATCTAGAAGAAAACAGTTTACTGGTAACCAAGTTTTACTTCACTTTCTCAATAATCTTAAGAGAAATAAAAAAATGATGGAAATAATTAACAAAGAAAAAATGAGGAATGAATTGACAAACACTTCCCAAAATCAAGGCTGAAAATTTGGAGAGTAAGCAACGATTTATAGTATGAATTTAAGTAATAATCGTCACATGTCCTTACAAATGAAATTCTCATCCTTATATAGGAGCATACAATCGTAACGATTATCATACCTAATTTGGACTAATTAAGGGCATTAGCTTTATTGATTTCCTATTATCATAGATAACCATAACCGGCATATTTATGACTAAAGATTCCTTATAACTTCTCTCGATTTCCCTTCCTTATTTATCTCCGGTTCATGTATCTTCCCTTCTTTGTAGTCTTCATTCATTCCGTTCTTATTTTTCCTTTGACAACTGTCAGGCTCAGTTCTTTTCTCTTATGCTACCCCATAGGTGTTTCTCTCGTACCTTCCGTGCATTATTAGTTCAGTTAATTTGAGAATGCCATTTGTCGCTATATCGACACTCCACGCGTCATGCCTCGCTAGTTTAATGCCGTTCCATGTGTCATGACTTTTTTTCACCAATAAAGATAGTCCTCCCTCATTCCGAATATTGTCAATTGAATATTCGGGAAGTGGTAAGTTTTTATGGCAGGAATTCCTTGCCGCCGCTTCTCGAGCATCATCATGTCTTTTTCAGAATCGATGTATCGCTTGTCACATCTGTTTAATGCCCACACCATGTGGTTTATTACGATTGGTTCTACAGTTTCTTAGTGCCTTTTAGGGTTCTTTCCCTACGGATGTGCCAGTCTCAAAGTGACGGTTCCATTAAGACGCTTCATAATGACCAATTTTAATGGCGGTCGTATCTTCTTATAAATACTTCATTCTTTTTTATTTCTTGGAGTCTTACTTCTTCATCATCCATTACATTTACTCTTTCTTTGTATTTCTGCATCCTTTCTTCTGTATTTCATTGGATAATCATGTCTTCGACAATGCCAAATCCTCGAAAAGTTGTGATTGTTGATGAACTTGCTCCTTCTACTGCCCCTACTAGAAGTAGGAGAGGTGGTAGACTTCGTAGCCTTGGTTCACTATCCAATCGTGGTTCCTCTCCTCAAAGTAGTTCTGCTAGGCCATCTTTTTCTAAACCTAGGGCTCATTTAACCCCTAGATCTTCTTCTGGGAATAAGGATTTAAACGAATATATGTGTGAACCTACAGTTGCAGAAATTGTTCCCCAAGAATTTTCTTTTATAACTGATCGTGAAACCATGAGAAATCAAGTTTCTTCTATAACTCCCCTCAACCTTACTTAACTTTACCCGATTCTGATCATTACCGGTCTTCTTTTCTTAGTTCGACGAGAGTGCCATTGAAAATTGGATTTTCCAGTTTTAGTCTATGGTGCCAATCAGAGAATCACCTCTTATCATGTCGGTTATTCTTTTGTTTATACCTACCTTTTTACTTTGGGGTTTAAGCCTCATATTGATCCAGTAATCATTGAGTTTTGTCATTACTTCAACCTGTGTCTTGGCCAGATTGGCCCCATTGTATGGAGGACTGTAGCTTGCCTTTGTTATTTGTCGGACTCTAGTTTCCGTCCAGTTTACCTTTCGACACTTGCTTCACCTTTACTCTCCCAAGCTGTTTCGTGAAGGGGGTTTTCTCTCGTGGCTAGAAGTAAGAGAGTGTTTGTTAGCCCTAAAGATGATCGAGACCGTGGCTGGTATGCCCATTTCGTTGCTGCTCCCACTAGTGGATTAGTGGGTGAAGAAAACATGTCTTTCCTAGAAAAATGGAATTCTGCACATAAGTTTTCTTCTCCTTTTTTTTCTTTTTTTATATATCTTGCATAATTTCATGTAATCACGTACCCGCTTTGTAGCAACCATGGAAGTCTTTGATGAGATTCCCGACTTCTGTGCTTGGTTAGAAAATATGTTAACTGATGCCCTATAAACAAAAGATCTTGGAAATTCCTTTCTCAAAAATTTGGTTGGAAAGTGAAGACACACGGTACATTTTACCTTCATAGTTCTTCTTTTCCTTTTACTTGGTTATACAATAATTTCTCATCCTTCCCTTTTCTTTTTTGTTAGGACTTGCTATTCATGGTATCAGCCCCACATCTGTTCCATGAACCAGACTTTCCGAGAGTCTTGCTCAAGAACGGATTTAGAGTGCTTCTTCCTCCAAAAGGAAAACTGACGAAGCCCGTGGCTCTAATGATGAAGAAGAAACAGATGAAGAATCTTTGGTGAGAAAGATGCGCGTTAGAAGAGGCATGGTTTCTGATGATGAGGCACCCCCCTCTCATGACCTCCCCTCTAGTGCAATTCCTTTCAGATTCATAGATGAGCGAGAGAATGCTCCTTTAATGATTTCTGAGGAAGATGTTGTTGATCCCCCACCAAGTTCCGTTGATAGATTGTTAACTTGAGGCTTCGAGGGTGAAGATGCTTTCGGGCCTGTCTCTGAAGAATTGCCTTTTGTTTCACTTCCAGCTTCATCTACCATCAACACCTCAGCGTATTTGCGTGACGTTACTCCAGTTGTTTCTCATATAGAGGTCGAACCTTCAAGCAGCAGAAGGGAGATAAAAAGAGTCGTAATTGAGGTCCCTAAATATGGGAACTTACTGAGGAAATCTGGTCAAGCCGACGTGTGGTTGAAGCCACTGATTGGACTTGTGGAGAAGAAGAAATTAAAAAGACATAGCTCACTAACTTTAATTAATGACATTGTTCATTCTTCTTTGAAGGTACAAGCTTATATTTCTGTTCTTCTTTCTTCCTAATTCATAACTCTTCCTCCTTTTACCTTTTTGCAGATTAGTTTGATTGGTACCGAGCTTATGAAAAGAGTTTCTCAAGCGGACCAACAAGTTATGGAATTGCTCATTGAGGTTGTCAATTGGAAGGAATAATTCGAAGGTCTTCAACTAGAAAAGGAAGTTCTTGTAGAAGAGAAGAACATTTTGGAGCGTCAAATGAGGATGGTTTTTGCCGAGTCAGCGGTTGAAAAAGCCTCTTCCAGTCAGGTTGGGAAGGACAAGGATATACTGGAAATCCTCTTTTGCTGAACAAAAAGAACTCCTTAATCAAAAAGAGGTTTACGCGGGAGAATTGGTTCAGACGCTTACCCAAGCTCATGAAGAACTTCGCGCCTCTGCAGATAAAATTCAATTCTTGGAAAGTTCTTTCGCTCCTTTGAAGACAACATTTGATTCCTCTGAAGCAGAAAAAAAAGAGTTGAGAGCTGAGGTTGATTAGTGGGAGAAGGATTATGAGGCTCTCGAGGATAAGCTATCGTTGGATGTGAGCTGGGCCTTTTTGAACACTCGCCTCGAGACTCTAATTAAAGCCAACCAAGAGGATTTTGACCTTAATGCTGAGATTGCTAAGGCTAAAGAAGCAATCGATAAAACTTAGCAATGTCAAAGATTTTCCTCACCTGAAGATGTAGGTTCTAAGGGTGATGGAGATGGACTTGTTCCTGGTAGAGCTGATGTTCAAGCCTCTTCTGCTCAAGTTAATCTTTCTTATCCTGCTGATGATACTCCCGTTGATGATGCTCCTTAGTTTTCTCCTTTCTCCTGTTTTTTGTCAGCTTTTATTTGGGACTTTCATATGTTGTTTTTTCCCTTAGCCTAATTTTGGGATTTAATGACAAATTAGCACCTTTTTATTTTTATAAACGTTTCAGTTGCTTTTGCCACATATTATGCTCTTTTATTTTTTGATGTTTGACCTTTCTCTTGCATTTTAAAAATGCCTTAACAATTCGTGACTTTGATAAACACGGGTTTTTATAAAAAGGGGCCATTTTATGTTAACGACATTGATGAAGATGACGTCTTATCTTCATATTGGTGCAAATATATAAAACATGAAGTAGACATGAAATTTTTTTTGAGGAAGTTTTATGTTTTGAACTTCAAATAAATTTCGTACATTATTTTCATGATCGCTCGTACAACACTTTCATAACTGCTTTTATTGTAGCAGATTTAAAAATATAAAATTGGGTCTATTATTCCGTGACTAAATTTTGGTCTTAACCTAAAACTCGTAGGAACATGTAATATCTTGCATCCTTTTCGCGAGTTCACACTCCTTTGAAAAATTCAATAGGTTTGTTTCTTTAAGGTTTTTGATTCAGGCTAAACTGAAGTATGTTTTTTCGCGACTTTTGATTTCTTCTACATGCATAATCCCTCCAGTGTTGGAGCTTTGAAGTATGAAATCTCGAACACTGGATTACTCTTTCGTTTTGGTCCATTCCCTGAAAAGGAAAATACAAACGGGACTCATAGATATTTATTTAGATGATGACTATATAACCCTTTTTCCATCAGAAAGGTTGCAACCTAGACCTGAAATAATTCAGTATTTCGCGTGCCTTTCGGGTCTAATATCATCATTTGGAACGGGGTAGATTTTTTCCTATCATCTAAAATGGTTAGTAAAATTAAAAAGAACTATGGGTACTTTCCTCGTCTAGAAGTAGTGCTTCTTCAAGTGAACTGCATTCCAGTTTGATGGTAGTACCTTGCCATCTATGGTTTCCAACCCGTATGCTCCCTTTCCAGCGATACCTCGAACCTTATAAGGGTCTTTTTAATTTGGACTCAACTTTCTCGCGTTGGCCACCTTTGTCGATCGGAACACATTTTTGAGGATGAAGTCCCAAATCTTGAAGTATCTCAAATTAGCTTATCTTGTTGTAATATCACTCAATCATTTGTTTTTGAGCCGCCATTCGAATTAATGTTGCTTCTCTCCTTTCTTCTAATAGATCCAAATTTACCCGCATCTCCTCCTTATTTGCTTCCTCAGTAAGATGTGTGTATCTCTTACTTGGTTCACCTATCTCTACCGGAATTAAAGCTTCTACACCATAAACAAGCAAAAATGGAGTCTCACCCGTACTTGTTTTTGTTGTTGTTCGGTAGGCCCACAACACCCCCTGTAACACTTCTGGCTATTTGCCTTTTGATTCTTCTAATCTCTTCTTCAAGTTATTAATGATAAATTTGTTTGTCGACTCGGCTTATCCATTAGCTGCAAGGTGGTAAGGTGCGGACGTAATCCGTTTGATTTGCCAACTTTGAAAGAATCCTGTGATTTTAGTACCTATGAACTGCGGGCCATTGTCACACACGATTTCCTTTGGAACTCCAAATCGACAGATAATGTTTCTCCAAACAAAATCCCTGACTTTTTTTTCTCGCACCTGTTTGAATGCACCTGTTTCTACCCATTTTGAAAAATAATCTGTTAAAACTAATAGAAACCGTACATTTCCCTTAGCTTGAGGCAACGAGCCTACAATATCCATGCCCCACTTCATGAAAGGCCATGGTGAAATAATTGAATGTAACAGTTCTGTTGGGCGGTGCATGTTATAGGCATATCGTTGATATTTATCGCACTTGGCTACAAAGCTTTCTGCTTCTTCTTCCATTTCTGGCCAATAATACCCTGCTCTTATTAATGTCTTTACCGATGATCTTCCTCTGGCGTGATTGCCGCAGTGCCCCTCATGTATTTCCTTTATCACATACTCCATTTGCGATGGGCCGAGGCACCATGCTAAAGGTCCTCCAAACATCTTTCGATATAGATTTTCACGAATTAAGCAATACCATGCGGCTTTTGGTGAAGCAATTGCGACTTTTTCTTGTCCTCGGGCAAGATTCCATACTACAAAAACTTCACAAATTCGTTCCTCCAATCCCATGTTAGATTATTAAAATTTACGTCGCTCTTGTCTTGGTCAAGTGCTCAAGTGCCGAATGAAACAAATGTATCACGATAGCATTTTCTGCATTTGTTATATCCGTGACAGATGCGAGATTTTCCAATGCATCTGCTTCTGCATTCTCTTCCTTGGGTATCTACACGGCCTTCCACGACTGAAATTGTCTAAGTAATTCTCGTACCTTTTCCAGGTATTGTTGCATTCACATTTCTGTTTCCACGTAAGTCCCCTGCATCTGGTTAACCACCAACTGCGAGTCACTTTTGATCACAATCTTCTCTATACCAAGTTCTCGTGCCAGTTCCAAACCTGCAATCACAACTTCGTACTATGCCTCATTGTTAGTGATTGGATAACACCTTATTGCTTGTCTTATGCCTTACGCTGAAGATGGAATTAGTACAATTCCTAAACTCGCTCCTTTAACATTGGAAGAACCATCGGTAAATAAAGTCCAAGTCCTCGGATCAGATTCGGTGAATACTTGTAGTTCCTTTTCTGCTTCAGGAACTAAATTCATGCTGAAATCCGCTACAAAATCTGCTAGAACCTGCGATTTTATCGCAGTTCTGGGCTGATATATGATATCATACTCACTGAGTTATATTTCCCATTTAGCTAACCTACATGATAACTCCTATTTATGCAATATATTCCTCAGGGGGAAAGCAGTTATTATAGAAATAGGATGACATTGGAAATAAGGTCTTAACTTCCTAGATGCCATGATTAACGCTAAAGCAAGCTTTTCCAAATGGGGATACTGTATCTCGTCATCTAACAAAGATTTACTAATATAATAAATTGAGGATTGCTTACCTTTATCCTCTCGTACCAATACCGCATTACCGCTACTTCTGACACAACAAGATAAATGAGAAGCCTTTCATCGTCTTTTGGTTTGGCTAGCAAATGAGGTTCGATAGATAAAGTTTTAGGTCCTTGAGGGCTTGTTGGCATTCGTCAGTCCGTTCAAACTGATTCTGCTTTTTCAATACTGAAAAGAATTTAAAACTCATTTTTGATGACTTTGATATAAACCTCCCCTGAGCTGATATTCTTCCTATTAATATCTGCACTTCTTTTTTGCTCGTGAGTATCTCTGGTATTTCCTTGATAGCTTTGATCTGCGCAGGATTCACTTCAATACCCATGTTAGAAACGAGAAAGCCTAAAAACTTACCTGAAGCCACGCCAAAAACGCATTTTTCTGGATTTAGCTTCATATTGTATTTTCGGAGAATCTCGAAAGTATCTAACAAGTGTTGAAAATGATCTTCTGCCTGTGTTGACTTGACCAGCGTATCGTCAATGTAAACTTCCATGATTTTTCCTAAGTGCTCTTGAAATATTTTAGTAACCAACATTTGATACGCCGCTCTAGCAATTTTTAAACCAAAGGGCATGACTTTATAATAGTATGTCCCCCTGTGATAAACAAGGTTTTTTCTTCATCTAGGGAGTCCATTTTTATTTGGTTATATCCTGAATATGTATCTTCAAAACTCAAAATGTGACGACCCAACTGGAGGGTCATGACTAGCACCCGAGCCATACTTGCCGAGTACCAACGTACATTTTATCTAACCTTTCTTGTTATCTTTAAGGGCCGACAAGATCAATATAAATAGTAGACATGGATCATGAACATCCAACAATGAAAGATAATGTCATAAACATACATAACATGGGACGACAAGACTGTCAAGAAACTATATATAAGGTACGAGCTACCATGATGCCATGAAAGACTATACAACAAAAATCAGCCGAAAAGGCATTCTAAACCATACATAAGTCGACACCTGTCTATGAGCCTCTAAAAGAACATAAGTGCTACAACATTGCCGGAACAGGGCCCCGACATACCCATAATGTCTATAACAAAAATGCATACCAAGACCACGGCAAGTCCGGAGAAGGGATCTCGCCAATAACCGCTGAACTGGACAACCTACTGTGGTGGGGGAGCTGCGTCTACCTGTCTATCAGGACCTGCAGCACGACATGTAGCGTCCACAAATTAAAAGGACGTCAGTATGAATAAAGTACTGAGTATCTAAGGCAGGAAAGCATAGGTAAGAATAGTAATGTAAACAGAGATAGAGAATATACAACCTATGACATCTGGGTACCTCTGAGGGCTACTGACATGAAATACATGATACATACATATATATACATAAACTTTTAAAACATACGCCTTTGTGGGCATCACCATCATCATATCGTACCCGGCCGTAATAGGCTCGGTAAAACGTACCCGGCCATCATAGGGCTCGGTAGAATCGTACCCGGCCACGTGGAGCTCGGTAAAACCCAACTGATCAGTGGTTGCACAATAGGTGCCATACCCGGCCAACTATAGCGCGGCTCGGTAGAGTAAAATAGATACATATATATGATGCATGCTGGACTCATTGGAATCACATTTTGAACCTTTCGGAGTGACGTAAGGTCGGTATCCTTCGTACACGTTATTAGGATTAACTCTTCATCAAGAATCTTATAAGAATCAGGAACTACCAACAACATTGATAATATAAGAATAAGAGAAGTAACATCAATATCAATCGTTTCATAAGAAGGGCAGCAATGTAAGTACTGCTAGCTTCTAAGAGTAGAGTATCTTTGGGAGCTCGTTCATTACATTATGTACAATCGGAGTCGTGCAAAAGAATGAAGGGGATAGCCTCACATACCTTGTATATACTGCCCAACCTCAAGCTATGCAAATGTCACGACTCCTTAGTCTACAATAAGAGAAATGACTCTATCATTATCGTTTAAGCGTCGTAACTATTATGTATCAACCGCAACCTATTTTACGATTAAACGGACAGCACCTCCCCTATTTATATGACTTCCCACAAGTCAATACAATCACCAAACAGCCCAAACAACATCATTAATAATCATATTGAGCCTCCAAAACAGTCCACCAACCAACAACATTACTACCAAGCCTTTCGATATATATTTCACAAGTTCTAGCTTCAACGACTTAGCTGCAACTTGGATAATCTTAAATATATATAGAGTAAGAGGTTCCTTACCTTTAAACAGAAAGAACAACTCCAATTTGACCTTAATTTTCCACGAAATATCCCTTCAATTCTGCCACAAGAACAAGGAAGCGAAACTAGCAATTAATTCGGGTTTTTCGGCACTAGAATTACTTTAGAAGACTTGAAATCACCTAGGGTTGATATTAAAAACTTGAAGGTGTATTTACAGGACATAAAACACTTAAAACAACCTCCCACACGAGCTGGAACAACACAAAAATCAGCAACAACAAGAAGAACAAGAAACTTACTAGCGCCACGGGATTCCCGACATTTGATTTGTGTTGTTTGCCCTTTGTTTGGGTCTTGGATCATGAGAGAACCTTGAGAGACTGTTTTTAGGGTTATAAGGTCTGAATATACTGAAAAATAATGACTTAAAACGGGGTTGAGGTATCTTATATATGTCCATATGTCTTAAACCGCCTTTGTGGGCCCCATAGAGAGCAGCTTGGCGCACTCTCGCGAAAACGCGAATATCTCTCTATTCCGAGATCGTATCGACGAACGGTTTAATGCGTTGGAAACTAGACTCATAGATCTTCAATTTGATAGGTAGATCACCCCATAATTCCAAGCACATTGGGAGAAAAATGCAGTAACATTTGACCTAAAGTTTAAGTAAAATTATAAACCTAAGTTGCGACAACTTTTATCGACTTTTGTTTCATAACTCGCTTGACTTCAAGACTTATGATGCGGATATTATATGATTCAAATACATTAAAACAAGACCTCTTGGGACAGTTAATCACCTCTAGTGTTACCCGAAAATACGGGTTACAACATCCTTGATTCGTTTAACTTCTAATACTTGTTAACCACTCTTATACACCCTTGTATCGTTTAAGACCAATAGGATTAACTTCTTATCATCTCAAAGATAATCTCTTCTTGGATTTACGTCGACTAACTTACGGCGTGATCTATGGTATGCGAATTTGGGTTGTAACACCCTCTCCCCCTTAGGAACATTCGTCCTCGAATGTAAGGGTTTATGGGGTGTCTAACTCATCGTGGATTCCGACGGAGATTTCCGGCTGAGTTTCCCCTATAAAATGGACACTAGCCAAACTTGCAAGCAGTTAAACCCAACCTATGGCCTTACAAGACTATACAAAGCATTATGGATATGTACATTATCTGCATATCACCATTTTGTATTAAAAAAAAGAGTATTCACAAGCTATTGCTTACCTCATAGAGCCGTTTCACCTTATAATGCGTCCTTCTTTCCCCCGGCATCCTCGTTATCTTCACTCTGGAATAGGTAAGGGTATTTAGACTTCATCTCCTCTTCTGCTTCCCATGTCATTTCTTCTATATTCTTGTTCCTCCATAATACTTTCACGGAAGCTACATCCTTTGTTCTCAGCTTGCGGACTTGTCGATCTAATATAGCCACTGGCACTTCATCATATGATAGATCCTTTGTAACTTGTACATCTTTGATAGGGACGACCCGAGAAGGGTCTCCAATACATTTCCTCAACATAGATACATGGAATACCGGGTGGACAAATTCCAATTCAGATGGCAATTCTAACTCGTAAGCAACCTGTCCAATTCGTCGAAGAATTTTGTACGGCCCAATATACCGCGGACTCAACTTACCCTTCTTCCCAAAATTCATAACACCCTTCATCGGCGAGATCTTCAGGAAAACACAATCACCAACCTCAAATTCTAGATCACGACGTCGGACATCGGAATAAGACTTTTGCCTGCTTTGTGCCGTCCTCAGTCGCTCTTGTATCACTTTCACCTTCTCAATGGCTTGGTGAATCAAATCTGGCCTATATAATTCTGTCTCACCGACTTCGAACCATCCAACTGGTGATCTACACAAAAGTTCATGTTCTGTGGTAGAATCGATTAGTTAATCTATATGTGGCAGAGGAAATGAATCTTTAGGACAAGCTTTATTTAGATCCGTATAATCTACACAAACTCGCCATTTTCCATTCTTTAGGAACTACTACGGTATTAGATAACCAATTAGGGTACTTTACCTCTCGTATCGAACCAATTTTCATAAGCTTTTGTACTTCATCTTGGATTACCTGATTTTTGAAGGATCCTTGTTTCCTCTTCTTCTGCTTGACAAGTGGGTATGATGGGTCCTCATTCAATTTATGAGTTATTACTTCCGGTGGTATACCTGTCATATTTGAATGCGACCAAGCGAAGCAATCAACGCTAGCTTGTAAAAATTCGATTAACTTACCTTTCATTTTTGGGCTTAAATTTGCTCCGACGTAAACTTTTATGTCTGGCCAATGTGTAAATAACACTATAGCTTCGAGTTCTTCAACAATTGTCTCAATATTTTAATTTTCTTCTGGCTCTTGAATAACATCAGGTCTCGAATCAACATTACTTTGTCATGGTATGCCTTCAGTTGAGGTTTTTGCACCAATGTCCTCAACCGAGTTATGTAGTTGCTATTTTGCGATGGCATCATTGATTACCTTGCTCGAAACCACTATCGAGTTGATACTTCTTGAAGCTTGCTGATCTCCACGGATTTGACGGATTCCCCATTGTGAAGGAAATTTGATAACCTGATGTAATGTGGATGGGATGACGTCCATGTCGTGAATCAATGGTCTTGTTATATTATATGTCATGTCCGCGTCTACCACCTTGAACTTCGTATCCTTAACAACTCCTTCTGCAGACGTGGTGAGCAAAACTTCCCTTTTTGTTATAACACTTGAATTATCAGACCCGACCAAGGACCGCGCCTTTGGTATCACCTTATCGTTAGCTTGTATTTCGTTTACCACCCTTAGTGAAATGATGTTTAATGAACTACATAGATCAATCAAAACTCGCTTTATGTTAGTATCGTGTACAAGTGAAGATATTACCAGTGCATCGTTGTGAGGAATCATCATGTCGCCCGCATCTTCATCATCAAATGTTATACTGTCTTCATCCAAGACTTGGCGAACTCGCTTCCCTTGAGTAACCGTGACTTTTGACGTCTGTTTTTGCAGTTGTATAAGTTACACCATTGACCTCATCTCCCGAGTTATCACATTAACTGTCCTTTTTGTTGATGGAGGTTTCATGGGTTCCTGTCTGTTCTTCATATATGATTGTCTTCATTTCTTGCTGAATAGGTCAGTTATATAACCTTACTTCAACAAGTGCTCGACCTCTCCCTGCAGTAGTCTACAATATGTTGTTCTATGGCCATGATCGTTGATAAACTCACACCAGAAATCTGGATTCCTTTTGCTTGGATCTGA